GGACTAAATTATTATTTGAACTTTTTGTTAAGTAATATTTTACCATTTCATTATTCTACTTAGCTATTTAAAATTAAAGTAATTGAAACTGAAGTTCGATTATATACTTAATTAGAAATGTACTACGTTGAAGGAATGTCACTTACTATATCACTCGGTGTATTAATTAGTTTTGAAAGTTATTAGAACCATTCAAATCAATTGTCTTTGAAACTTTTATAATTTACTTTTCCAAAATGTTTTCCCAAAATATTTATTATTGTTGTGAAATTAGTGTTTTATGAAAGGTGTATATTAAAATAATATCAATTACGATATTGTCACACATAAAAGACAATGTAGCCCAATCATATAGTTATCAATAATAATTAAATACTTGATTGATCGCATTAATTAACGTTAACTGATAATAGATAATATATCAGAGCACCAGAAATGTTATAATAGCACGCATTTTTATGGGTACTATCCCTCCGTCATTCATGACGTCGGGCTATAATTTTTGTAACGCTACCTAAACGCAGTTAGAAATAAGCTAGCAGAAGGAAAGGAAATCAACGCTCTCAAAGTTTTAAATCATATTTCAAATCAAAACTCCAATCAATTTGCAATCTTTTCATTTTTCCTTGAAAGCTCGAAAAAATTTGAGCTCGAATCACATTGATCTTGATCCCAGCACAATCTCCAAGTTTTGAAATACCGGGATTATTTTCCAATTTGACGCCCATCAGCTTGGCTCCTATCTTCGAGCGAGGTGAAAAAAGTTTTCTCTCCAGCTCCTCGGCTTGCCCGTAGCTGTGCCACGCGGAGCGACGAGCGAGAGAGATTTCATAACGTTTATCGGAGCTCGCGCGATTACAAGCGGTGATTAACACCCAATCGACGCACGAATATACACCTTTGACGTCCGTTATAAAGCGATTCGCGGTGCAGGCTGGCTATCGGGTCGAGGTGGAAGCCGAGAACCCGACTCGTGGCTCCCTGACGATCGATTCGTGACCATAAATCTCTCTCTCGATTTCGCCGCCACCGTGCTCATATCCCTCACCTCCCCCTCCCCCACTCCCTTCCACCAAATCCCCCTTCCCATTCCCCCGGCCACTCCACCATCGCCGTCAGTCCCACCATCGCCACCACCACACCACCCCCTACTATGTCTCTCTTTCTCTTTCACTCGCTCTATCGCCGACTCTCTCGCTCGCTCTATCTTGCTGCTGCTTTTTTTTTATTCGCGAGAGGATTAAGATCGACGATAAGTTCGCTAAAGGCCGATGATATATCGCTCCTCAACTGTGGGAAGTGCGTTATTTAGTCTTTGTATTTTATAAATGCGATGTATAATAGAGTACGTGGGCACGTTAATATTCTCCTTCGCCCCGATCAGTCTCAGTGAATTTAGAAAATCCACATGACCGATTCGGTTGCAATCGTTATGAGCGGGATCAGATGTGACCGATCTGACAGTTAGCTACTACCGCGGATTCACCGTCATTCGCGCTTACGTTATTTGTAGATTAAATTAAAGGGTCATTGGTGGGACGAAAATTTTGCAAAATAACGCACCGTTAAGTGTATGAGAAATTGGAGATCTCGCGCTACGCGTATTTACAGATACAAGGCGCGTTAAATAGTTAAACCCGAGTCACACGGTAGATCGATCGTGTCTCGACGAGCACTTAAATCGACGCTTGTGTGCGAGGCTGTCGTATGTGAGAGTAAGTGCGCCGCTGTTTGTGGGTAGAGGTCGGGAAAGCACCGATGGTATTGTTTGATAAGCCTGAGCTCTGATTGAAAATAATTGCGACTGCCGTGCGCGCATTTACGCTCTATTAGATGCACCCTACCTTTATTTCAGAAGGTCATTAACTTATTCACAGTAATTATATAATATGCTATTTAATTTTGTAGATTACTATGCAGTCATCTTTTAAACACTACAAATACGACTGTTATTGCATTTGAATTTTTCAGAATTTAATGTGAATGCGAAGAAAATTGAGCGTTAAAATCGCTGCTTAATATTTATAAAACTTATAAGTTAATCTGAAATCATTGAGTTTTAATCAATGAGCCATGCTAATATTTGAATAATAATTATTTTTGAATAATGAATTATGTTAATTTGAATAACAAGATACATTATTTTGAATAATCAATATATGTTAATTTTATGTTTTTAAATGTAATACCACTATTTTATCAAATAAAGAAAAAATAAATAGAAAAAAAACTAAAAATAAAAAATTTTTAGTTCAGCAGACAATAACCTCATATCCGTTCCTATGAATTTGATTAACGAGTTTTTTTACACATAATTACGAATATATTTATGGACAATTATAAGCATGTTGTGGAGTAATGTATCCAAAATAATTATGAATTTATAATATAAAGTAATAAGAAATTTATTGTCGTAGTACATTGCTTTAATTCTTTTATTTTATATCATCGAAAATATATATACGTATTCATTGCAAGTAAAATAAAAATTTTCTTTACATTTTTTTATCCAACAAGAAATAATTTCCATTCAATGAAGCAATTTTATAAAAAATTCAATTGTAGAATTTATTGCAAGTATATTGTTGAATTTTACTGTTTATACAAATTATGGTTTTTAATTATAGTCGATTTTATTAAAAAATACATGTTCTATACATTGTTCAGAGTTGGCAGTATATTTTAATAAATTATGTATGTACATTTATGTATATGTAGTACGAAGATAGAAAGTTGTAGTATATTATTATTTTACGACTTTTCATATACATTTTTTATTACAGTCTATAATTTGTATATATGATCAACACATGCATTTTACATATTGACTTGTGAAATTATTAAAGCAGTAATTGATTTGTGTCAATAGTGATACTAATTGCCTAAAATTATTTGTTAATTGTATTAAAATTATAAATCATTTGGATGTAGCTTGAAAAATCCAATGAAACTTTGTAATATAATTTTCTCTAAATATTGAAAAGTCATTAGTTATACGATCACAATTTATAATTGATTTACAGGAAAACACTTTTATCTCGTGATTGTGTTTCTTTATCATTCGCATAATTTTATTTATTGCCTCGACAGTACGTTTTAACTGTAATAATACTGCTACTAAATAAGACTATTCCCTTGCATCGTTTGACTACTTTTTAGAGCACATAATAGGTGTACGTAACATAGACAATAAGAATAACAAAGCAGTTTGTTCAGTTAACATTATAAAGTGTATTCGATTATGTTACGTTGTACGCCTGACGAACGATGACCTTCTCCGATCTGCTAGTGTACAGGTCTTTTTCCTGGCGTCGTCTAGACGTCTCCTTCTATATAGAAGGTGAAGTACAAAAAGTCCCCCAAAGGGACAAAATTCTTAGAGTATATAAATTCATTATTAACGGATAATTCAATAAGCACAGGAACGGATAATTTTATAAATTATGAGATAAAAATCATTATACAATAGGCATTCGTAATGTGTAGAAATATTCAGTGTCTTATAAACTTTATTAAAGTAAATTCGAAGATTTGATCTATGCGTTTCTAATCGAAGTACGAAGGAAGCAGCTGATCTGATTATCATCAGTAATTATTAACGACATGATATGTCGTGCTCGGTTTACGAGGTCACGCTTGGCATTACTTCAATTCATGCATATCTTTAAGTACTTGAAAAGTTATATAATATTTATGTGCTATTCTTATTTTTCTTTTTTTTTTATTTCATTCATTGATTGAAAACATTATTAGTATATTAAAAAAAAATTTTCAAGTATTTAAGATACATAATGCTTTTATTCAATTTTCCTTCAATTTTCTTTATAAACTCCAAAACCTAGTTAGATCTAGTTCTACTTCAAAAACAAATACATATATATATATATATATATTAATTACCGATTATATATAATATTTCATCTAAATCTATATGTATTTAAAATATTAATTATGTGTTAAATTTTTGTGCAATTATTTGGCTTTTCAGAACATTAGTGAATTATCTAAAATTTAATAATAATTTTTCTAATTAGTGACTGCATAATAAAATTAGGCTAATTGATAATTAATTACATGTATATAAGTTAACTTAAATTTTTTTAAATATAAATAGTAAAGATTCCATTTGAACGAAGTTTAACACAATTGTTTTATTGTGCTTACAATGACCCACATACTTCCTATTACAGTTAAAATTATCTTTATTTGTTATTCTTAGAGATAAACAAAATTTGTTTATATAAGATAGAAAATAAGTTCCTTGTTATAAATAGATATCGAGGAAAGAAGGTGGGGAAATAAAAAGAGAGAGAGAGAGAGAGAGAGAGAGAGAAAGAGAGAGATAAAGAGAGAGTGAGAAAGCGTGAGGGAGAGAGGGAACAAGGGAGAAGCAGAATACGAGCAAGTGTGTCCATGATTGAGTATGAGTAGCGAACGAATGATTGAGAGAGACATAGCTAATAAATTACACTATACTTATTTTATGGATAAAGCAATAATATATTTAATAATTAATCAAAATATTCATGAGTAAATATTCCGTTTAAGATAAAGTATTCTTTTGCCGTCAGAGGAGTGATTCTCATCACGCCGATTAGTAATAAACAGATATTTTTAGCGATATATGAGATGAGTTATTTACATATCTATCAATCCTCTTATGGCAAGAGACATCTTTGAAAAGTATTTATTATATAATCCTAACAAAAGATATTTTTAATTTGATAAAGCAAAAACGTAATGGCATGCTTATAACGTCGGTTGCAGACCATCAGGCAACGAGACGCTCTATGAATTCAGCGGAGTGAGAGCGGGATAGAGAAACCGAATGAGAAAGCGTTGCGAGGAGAGAAAGAAAGAAAGAGAGAGAGGAAGAGAATAGTATATTGATAGAGAGAAAGAGAGTGAGGAAGAGGGAGAGAAAGGGATTGAGAAGTAGATAAAGAGAGAGAGAGAGAGAGAGAGAGAGAGAGAGAGAGAGAGATAAACAGAGAGGGCACGATAGAGTGGGATAGGGTGAGGAGCGAGGAAGGGCGGCAGTGAGACTGCGAAAGAGAAATTAAGGATAAAAGCGAGAAACGCACGGAAAGCGAGTGAGGGGGCGTAGGTCTGTGAGGCGATAGAGGGTGAGATAGACGCACACATATGCCTATGTATGTACGTATGTACGTACGTATGCATGCATGTACACATGCATGTATGTATGTATGTATGTATATGCATAGACGTATGTATACGCGCATGTAAGAGGAGACAGATAGAGGCATCACGCGGGAGCAAGAGGCTACGTCCAGGAGCTTCTTCGTCGGCCCCTCGCTCCTTAAGGCTCATCGCCCCGAGAAATGGACGTTGCGTCGGGGGCTGCTGCTGATACCTCGCGGCCTCGCAGCGCAGCACATAAGCGCCGACGATAATATATGGATGCCCATGGCTGGAACCTGGCCGAAATGTGCCAGCGCTACCATCACGGCGGCGTCGCCTCGTCAGCGGCCACCTCCCCGGTTCGAGAACAGCAAACGCCCGGCATTATCCAACCCCAACAACAGCAACAACAGCAGCAACAGCAACAGCAGCCGCACCACCATCACCACCATCATCATCATCACCAACAACATCAACATCACCACATTGACCAGCATAGCCCGTCCTACTCTCATTACACGTGAGTTATTGCGAGTCGCTTGTCTAAAAAGGTCGCTCTTAATTACTCCGACTTCTCCCACTGATCGCACCCCGTGGATCGCGTGTCTTATTCTCTTGTCCTGAACTTTTCAATCTAACTCTCTCTCTCTCTCTCTCTCTCTCTCTCTCTCTCTCTCTCTCTCTCTCTCTCTCTCTCTCTCTCTCTCTCTCTCTCTCTCTCTCTCTCTCTCTCTCTCTCTCTCTCTCTCTCTCTCTCTCTCTCTCTCTCTCTCTCTCTCTCTCTCTCTCTCTCTCTCTCTCTCTCTCTCTCTCTCTCTCTCTCTCTCTCTCTCTCTCTCTCTCTCTCTCTCTCTCTCTCTCTCTCTCTCTCTCTCTCTCTCTCTCTCTCTCTCTCTCTCTCTCTCTCTCTCTCTCTCTCTCTCTCTCTCTCTCTCTCTCTCTCTCTCTCTCTCTCTCTCTCTCTCTCTCTCTCTCTCTCTCTCTCTCTCTCTCTCTCTCTATCTCTCTATCTCTCTATCTATCTATCTATCTATCTATCTATCTCTCTCTCTCTACCCCCTTTTTATCCACTATATATATCTATATCTCTCCCCCTCAATCTCTATTCCTATCTCTATCTCTATCTCTTTATCTCTTACTCTCGCTGTTATTCGCTTACTTGCTCATCCAATCGCTCGCTCGTTCTTCCGTTCGCTTACTCTTTCTTGTTTGCTCTTTGTGCATGGGTCGTACGCGTTCCTCTCCTTCTCCAAGGCATTCGAGTTTCGAGATTTTAAATGAAATAGATTACAATCCGATTATCCAAAATCTTGAGCGCTTTGAAAGAATTTTCAAGACGGATGCTTTTGTATTTCTTGGCGTGGAAGGAAGGTGAACAATTGAATCGAATGCAATACGAACGAAGGCCCAAAAGCTCCTCGAATAAAAAATGTGCTTAATTCACTCATACGCATCATTGATAGCCTTAGTTTTCTTTGAAAACTAACCTTTATTCTGCACCCAGTAAAAGCTACCAATAATGCCGATTACTCAAATATACATTTCTATCCTAAAAGCTATTCGAAGAAACAACAATGTTTATTCGTTAATCTAAATAAGCAACATTACTGGCTTCCCATAATGCTTAATATTTTATATTATAGCAGCCTGTCTACGTCACATTTTTTCCTTGAATTCTTGAAAATATAATTCCCTGTAAGTCAATGTCAAACTCATTTAAAAAGAAAATTAAGAAAAAAGCACACAGGAGCGCGGCTAAATGAGCAAACAAGATGAAAGAGGAAGGAACGGGCGATACATCGGGTCGGTCGCTCCCCTTAGCACATTCAGTAGCGAGGACGTGCTTTACGTGGTGTCGAGTCGATCAGTTTTTCCTCCTGGTATAAATCGGTCCCATACGCCAACGATTTACCGGCGCCGTCCGATCTTACAAATGGACTGGTGGCTGTCGAGCAAATCAGCGCCCCGACTGAGCGACATCGCGGCCACATCTTCGTGTTTGAATTGATGATTACGAGGCGGGAGAATAACAAGCGTCGATTACACGTGCGCAGTTAAATTATTACGTCACTGAAGGAAACAGGCCGGAAGTTTGACTCATTGAAGGGTAGATGAAAATGCAATACTCCTCAGCTGCTCGATATCTCTCTTTGACGATTCTTTGCGTAACCTTGCGCTTGGCGATCTGTTGTATCGATCAACGCCTCGTTTTCATTCGTAAATTACTGGCGGCTAAATGCCTGCAAAACTAAAACAAATATTAAATAGGCGTACCAAGTATTATTAACAATAGCGTTTCCCAACATACATTAACATTGATATTAACGATTCAGAAAATTTAATAAAACGTGCTTCATCGTTCATACAATATGAATATAATAATAATAATGTATAATCAATTATATTTAACAATCTCTTAAATGAAATTCATGTTTTTATTATTCATATGATATCATGTTTTAATATTTAATAGGGAATGTCATTTAACGATATTAAATTTAAAATTATAGAAATTAATTGCGAAAATTATTACTTTCGTGCTCTTTTCCAAAATTCATCTGTATATGCTCCAGTCCAAAATTCCATCTCTAACATCTAGTGTACTATATTATAAATCTACTTTGCACAAAAAGTCAATAACAAATTCATAGGCGTCTATTTTTATTTTTATTTTTATTTTTTTTTTTATTTTTATTTTTTATTTTTATTTTTATTTTTATTTTTATTTTTATTTTTATTTTAATTCTCTTTGGCTCATCATTCATCATGGCTCACATTGACAATTGAAAAATCGATAATTATTCCAATAAAACGATTGCATAAACAATACGTAGTAAAAATAAAAATCTAGTTAAAAGAAATTTGCCGTCGAGTTTAAAGACATCTAATTTTCAATATAAAATTTTTTACTAAAGCTTAAGCGTACGTGAAAAAATGTTGAGGATATACGGGGATATGTAGAAACACGTACCGGAGGTAATAGTCGAGAATTTCAATTTACAACCATTCTTTAAAGTCCGCGCGTTAATACACTCTTGCATGGTTCTGGTCAGAAATTTTAGCCAGAAGTGTGTCGCGTAAAAATTGAAAATAATTCATCGGAGCATCGACGGGCGCAAAATTACAGCATTTAGCCGACAGGCCATACGGTCGTCGAGTCAAAGAAGAAAAACGAATCGACCACTTTGGCTGTGGTATTATACCCCTCCCTTATCTCCACTTGATTGCCTTAGGCCAAATCAATGAGTCGAATCTCACAGGCGCAATCAATAAACGCGCGCGAACGAGCAACATTTTGCATGATAGGCCAGAAGGAGGCGAAAATCAGCCCACGACGTCGCCCCAGCCAAAGCAAACAAACATAGCCAATTTCCCATGGTGCCGGTAATCCATGCAATCAGGCACGTCCACGCGCCGCAAAAAGAGAAGAGCGAAGCTCGATGCGAGGAGGGTTAGGGTTAGAGACTGTGGGGCCTCCTCTTATCGCGCGGGAAAACGGCGAAAATCACCCTGAAAGATTCAATGCAACGATCCGTAGAAATTATATTACATTACCCCAAGGCGCATTAATAAACGACGCGGCTGCGTTTCGGGCCTGCGAGGACGTAAGTATAAGGATAGTCGCAGTGCGGGTGATCCTGTTATTAGCGCGGTTCCGATTAGGGGGAACGACGCGCGCGCGCGCCAAGGATCTCGCGGCTCCCTCCCCGCCTTCGGGGCAAATTACGGGTGGTGTGGGCGTGTCCCGGTGTTTGGTTAGCGCAAATCGCCAATCGACGATGCGCCTTTGTGTATAGGAAACGCGCGCATCCTTTAACCTTTATATTATCGTAAGCGCAAGGCCGATTCTTCTTTTATTCGTCGGCCTCCTCGGTGCGTGCGCGCACTCGACGTATTTGCTCTTGCCATGCTCATGAAATTTCAGCCTCGGAGTACAATGTACTGTTGCTCTTTTTTTTTAACATCCTTTCAAGTGAAGCTTGCTTTACGAAAATTATTGAAACGCCGTGCCTCATTGCACACCGGCGAGCTGTTTCTTATTCTCTTTTCCTTGTAATGCCAAATTAATGCAATCGTCGATTTTTCACGAACTTAATTCAGTCTCGATCCAACTATTTTAATATACTTTCAATAACGATCCTATACAATTAATTACTTTGTGTATGTATTAAAGATGCCCGAGATTGAGTATAATTTTAATATACTTCATGCAGATAAGCTCGAATGACCACCGTTTTAAGAAACAAAGACAAAACTTATTTAGTTAAATAAATAATAAATAGTAATTTTTTATTAAATTTTTCTTAAAATGTACTTGCTTTAAATTAATTAAATTGCTAGATTACAATTAATGTACGTAATCTTGTAAATTATAACACTGCTATAGCATTTAAATTTTGCATAATACTAATTAAAAGACTTTCAATTTTACGCATAAATTATAAATTATGTTAACTATGCCATTAAATGTAATATATATTATACAAGGCATATAATTATATAATTGCTTTACATATTTTTTATTTTTACATATTGTTTACGATATTAATATTAAAAAGAATTAAATAATAGACTTTACTCGAGTTAAATTAATATTAATGATAAATTACGTTAAATATAAATTATTATAATCTAATTGCGTCATACGATCTAAAATACGTGTGTATATATACGTATATATATATATATATATATATATATATTATGATAATATTTTGAAAATAAAGTTTTTGTGGGTCGAACTTGTAAAACGCATTAAAATCTCAATAAAATATTTATAAATTCTTGATTTATTTCAAACATTAGCACGTTCAAGATTTATTGATGCAACCAATAATTAACTGCTTTGCTATTTCATAATTTTCCGGAGTTTTCATGTAAACGAAGCATGAACCAACATAAGTCTTGAATTATCAACTACTAGATATTATTGTACTGACAAATCGAAGAAAGTAAATTTTATACTCTCCATAGTTAAAAATATCATACTTAATTTGTATAAGTTTGGTACAAAAGAAAATTTTGTTTTTTATTTAAATTTTTATTTTCAATTTTTGCTCATATTTAATTAACAATATAAATTAACAATAAACTTTTGGTTCATGCACATAAGATAGAAATACGCAGAAGAGTATATATCCTATGTGTAAAAGCGACAAAAAATAAAAATTTATTATAAAATTTCAAAGTATCGACCTATATTAATAGCCCGATGTTATTTGATTGAATTTTTTTTATAAATGTCGCATGTACTATTCCTCGTACAATCTAATCTATATAATAAAAGTAGGCAAAACATATGAATGACATATTAATTGTCTGTTTTTGAAGAGAACTGATTACAAAAATTTATGTTTTATATAATATTATTAAATTTGTTCGAAATGGTAAATAATAAATGTACATAACTTTTTAAGATCCCTTTTTACGTATTTATAATATAGAAGATACCTTTATATGTTATTTATATTGAAATTTGAAATAAAAAGATGAACATTTACTTCAGTTTTTACTTTTCTT